TATTTTTATTTTACATGAATATATTTTTTTGCTTTTTTTAACTTTTATTTATTTATTTAGACTTTTTTTAGTAAAAGTTACGGGAAACCTTTATTTAGAATGTCTTAATGGAATATTGACCCATATGGATAACCAAGTGGTACATTACATAATCAACCCAAATGGCTGTTGCACAGCTGGAATACATCATAAAATCAGGCATTGTTGTGTAACAGACATTTACTGCAAGTTCATATTTCAGAAATCATTCCATTTCCTTTGAGCTGTCATGCGCAAAATAAGCAGACTCATCAAGGACTCACTGACATACAGTTAAACTACTGCAGTCAAAACAAAACAGATCAAAATTTCACCTATTAATTCCATAGATGGCCCGAGATGCTTGTAGATCACACAAAAAGCCTGGCCTCGTATGTGACATTATATCATTTAAAATGGGTTCACAGAAATGTCAACATTTAAGATTATGCTGGCTTGCCCTGCACACTGTGAACACAGTTTCAGCCTCATTTATAAATGCAATCAGCACTAATTAATAGATCCTTAAAGGGTTAGTTCACCCTAAAATCCAAATTTACTCCCTGTTTACTGCTGCCTCAAGTGGTTTCAAAGCTTTTTGGGTTTCTTTTCTATTTCTTTCACACACACAAAAAAAATATTGGAAACACTTTAGTTTAGGTAACAATTCATATCATTGACTACTGGCATATTAACTGCCAATTATTTACATATTAACTGCTTATTAACACCTAAAAATTAATAGTTTGGTGCTATTTTATATCCCTGATCCTACCCAATACCTAAACCTCCCTACTTCCTTACTATAAAAAGCAGCTAATTAGTAGTTCATTGAGCTAAAGGTTTTCCCAGAGATGGGTTGCGGCTGGAAGGGCATCCGCTGCGTAAAAACATGCTGGATAAGTTGGGGGTTCATTCCGCTGTGGTGACCCCGGATTAATAAAGGGACTAAGCCGAAAAGAAAATGAATGAATGAATGAATGAATGAATGAATGAATGAATGAATGAGCTAAAAGTATCAGATAATGATTGTCAATTACAGACTAATTAATTTTAAAGAAAGCTCTAAAGTGGTTACTATTGATGTCCATAGAACTATTAGTTTGGAAGACAATGGTCACCCAATTTACAAAATATTATATTAATAAGAAAAAAGAAACACAAACAGATTTGTGACAAGTGAGGGGTCAGGCATTTTTGGGTGAACTATCCCTTTAAAGGACCATATGATTTCAGCCAACAACACATACTTCTTCCTTGTGAGAAAAACACTTATGAAGCCTGAATTATATTTTTGCAATGTTTGTGACAGCACTGAACACCTACAGAAAGGGTTTGTCCCAAAGCCAAAAGGAAAACTAGTTCTACCGGCTTGCATGGCTTGCAGAGAATGTCTCTGCGTGCGCTTTAGAGACAGGTGAACTGGATTTTCTTGTTTTTCACCTGATCTGTACTTGTTCTTTACCAGCTGACAGGCTGAAGAAGAAAATACACTGAATGTGGGACAAGCAGCCTAGGGATAACACAAAGCTAAAATGAGTCAAGTGTAACAGAGGCCTAATATTCCTTGAGGAGCTTTAAGAAACCGGTGTCAATTTCCAACAGAACAAGTGAAAATGCTCTCATTGTGGACACAAGCATAAGCACACACTTATTCAAAGCAGGACCCAGCCCATCCTAATGAGAATGAGTACGGAAGCGAGTTTCACATGCAACTACATCTACCTGCATCTTTCAGTGAGCTGTAACCATAGACACCAATGTGTGCTACTTACAGTTTTACACTGTTATGTAAGACTAAGCCAGGTTAGCATGACACAATATATTATAAAGAGTCTAAAACAATTGATCTAGGAAAAGTGAAAGAACAATAGTGATCTATCCAGGCTATTTAAACTGCCTGAAGACACATAGTGCCAAAAATAGCAAGAAACATGTATGATATGTTTATAACACAAAGTGACCAGAGAATAACTAAAAGTAATCTGAAACCGTGCATCTCTGGTAAATTTAAGTATCTGCAATTAGTCTAGAATGAAAACAAAAACTTACTAGAAGTTTAAACTTGATGTGACCACACTGAAACGTCATTTACCCGATTTAACATTTCTGATGACAATGGATGGCATACAGTACAGTAGTATATGGTTTTGTCACTATGAGTGAGATAATTTTAAAGAGTGTTAAAGCAATTTATTAGCTGCTAATTGTGGCTTGTAAATTATTAAACCAGATGAAAACATTAACACCAAGCAGCTGTTATTACAACCTATATTACGTCGATAAGGATGCTGTAAAACTGTTTCCAAAACAAGAGCAGTGTCCCTTGTGTTTCTCTCCGTAGGCGATACGCGACTGTGCTGTTAAGTATTTTCACTCACCATTTTTATTGGTTAATCACACTGCAGCCGACCTTCTGTTATAATCCGTTTTGTAACTGTTTATAGTAAAATAATAAACCTCTCTATTTCCCCGTGGCGATGTCACGGTCTCTTTTAGCCTCTGCTGTTGTAAACGTCTCCTCAGGACCAGTGTCGCCGCTCCATAATAGTGTGGACCGCACCGGTAAACGGCTCGAGCGCACTGACTGCACTGCACTCACTCAGCGTCTGCTGCACAAAGTTAAACTTTGTGACTGCTGGTTGACGGAATCAAAGAGGCAAACAACCCATAAATGGAGAATTTCGTGAGTTGCTTTTGGCCAATAGGAGCGCTGCTCGGCGCGTCATTCCAAAGGGAATCCCACCAGATGATTTCGGGTGTGTTAAAGCGCGTCCTATATGCGCAGCGAGGCTGCGTAAACACTTTACAGCATCACTGCGCCAAAGAGCATAGACACTGAAGACACAAAGAGCTGAAGCAACAAATACAGAATTGTATAGTACTACTACTGAAGAAAACGTTAACGGTATAAACATTATGTGTATATAATGTTTTTTCTTTTTCTTTTCATGTATTTATACATTTTCACCATTTATTTTATGAAGTATTTAATTTTCAATTCGTTTATTCTTTTCTAAAGGTTGCTTTTATTATTTCCAAAACATTGTGTATCTAGGCTATATTATATTCTTCATATTATAATATCATGATATCATTATAAATAGCTGTATAATTACATCCTAAACACACTATAAATTCAGTTTTACATGTTATTAAGCATCATTCAATCGTTTTCTTATCGGCTCAGTCCCTTTGTTAATCTGGGGTTGCCACAGCGGACTGAACCGCCAACCTATCCAGCATAAATTTTATGCAGCGGATGCCCTTCCAGCTGCAACCAAACACCCATAATATTAATTAAAATATTAATAAAAAATTATTACACATAAATAAAATCTCAACTTTGCAAGTATACAGTATGTTCGCTTTTTATTGCCTCATATATTAAGAAAACCTTTAAGAAAATTACATTTTTTAAATATGTATATATTGAATGATTAAAATAAAACATGCACCTGGATTAAAATACATTAAGATTTGCCTGTTTAAAAAAAAGAAATTTTATTGTCTTATTGAAATTGATATGGACGAGGCATATCTACACAGTAGGTAGTGCTGTCGCCTCACAGCAAGAAGGTTGCTGGGTCGCTGGTTCGAACCTCGGCTCAGTTGGCGTTTCTGTGTGGAGTTTGCATGTTTTCCCTGCCTTCACATGAGTTTCCTCTGGGTGCTCCGGTTTACCCCACAGTCCAAAGACATGCGGTACAGGTGAATTAGGTAGGCTAAATTGTCCATAGTGTATGAGTGTGTGTGTGAATGTTTCCCAGAGATGGGTTGCAGCTGAAAGGGCATACGCTGCGTAAAAACTTGCTGGATAAGTTGGCGGTTCATTCCGCTGTGGCGACCCCAGATTAATAAAGGGACTAAGCCGACAAGAAAATGAATCAATGAATGAAATTGATATTATATTGTCATTTGAAAAAATCTGTATAATTAGTTTTCTCGGTGAATGCTTTGAAATGTAAATTATCCCCTTGATACAAAGCAATCTTTATATTTTTGTGGGAACCATGATAGATTTAAGCTTTTAAGATTACTTTAGAAAGTTCAAAAACCATTGACGGTTCATTTTAATTTTATAATTTGATATTTTATCAAACTACTGCACTTTTGAGAACAGAAGGGGCCACTAAAAAAACAATTACTTTCAAACGTTTGACTAGCCGTGTGGTTATTTATTTTAAATATTAATTTTATTTCCTAACATTATAGATTTTAAAATAAATCTATCCATCTATATTTTTCTATCTTACTATTAGTGCTGTCTGTCTGCCTGTCTGTCTATCTTACTATTAGTGATGTCTGTCTGTCTGCCAGTATGTCTGTCTATCTATCCATCTATCTAAAGGTTTTTATAACATTATATTTTCTTACCAGTCGGTTACAAAAAAACATTAAGGTAGACATGGATGATAAAACAGAAGCATTAATTTATAACTCTTTAATGTATAAATTGTTTCATTAATAACAATAATTGATTACATAATAAATACAAATATTCAGTTCATATTTATTTACTTATTATAAATTTTGCATTCTTCTTATGCTTTAATACAAAATATGTTTTCATTTCATCATATTTTCATCACCTTATCCGCACTGCTCTCCTGACAATCCAGCAGGTGGCAGCAGGAGTCCATTAAACACTTGCATGATATGAAAACTATCTATTCATTTGCATATGCAATTTTTGACATTGCAGTGTTTAAAATTATTTAAAAATTATTTAAACACTGGGCATAAGTTAAAAATAATAATAAAGGTTATTCTCTACATTCGATTATTAAATGTACATCATTTACAGTAGGCTCAATTCCAACTCAAAATTCCTACATTAAATTATATAAATGATTTAAACCACTTGATATATTCTTTGAAGTCCCAAACATAATGATTATTCATATGTAAATAAAAAATAATTCGCTTCAATGGTCCACAGGGCTCGCCATAGCTCACTCCTCCTGCTTTTTGTGGTCCAGAGCTCAAGCACGCTGCACCTCCCCATTCCTCCACTAATAAACATGGCTGAACTGAAAACGGACGGTGAATTACAGGACTGAACGCGTCTGCAGCAGAAGCACAGGACTCACACACATACACACTCTCCCTCAAACTGTTGATTCAGGCAAGAAGACTGAACATGACGTGAACGTTTATACGGGGAAACTAAAGCAGCAAAAAGTTTGACAGCCGCCAACGAAGAGAGACTTCAGCGGGACAGACAGAGACTGAGCTCAGATACTACTGCACACTGAGCAGATACTAAATACTGCTTTTGCATTTATGGAAATTATTCTTTAAACGCCTCTTCTACTGAAGAAACCGTGGATTTGTGGCTCTGAGCTAGCACAAAACAGTTTTGGTTTACGTTTTAAGATTCTTAAGCTGCTCTTGTATGGATTTACTATTCGCATTTTTGTTGTATCGGCTCGTGTAAACGATGTTCTCCGGTAAACAAACCAAGCCGACTTTCAAGTCTTATCTTCCTCCACTTCAGGTGAGTGAGATACTAGCTTGCTAACGACTAGCTGATAAAAAAACACAATGACATATTCATTTCTTTAACTATTCTTGACTAGATATATGTTAGGGGAACTCTTTCACCCCATATGTTTGACATCTGGAAGACTGTAAACAAAGTTAAGTGTAAGTGTAGTTAAGCCTTCACTCGGTTGGATAACTTTGGTGTCAGTTCTTCACTGTGGTAACTTTTAAGGTAATAACTATAATAAAAAAAAAAAAAAAAAAAAAATATATATATATATATATATATATATATGGTACTTCCATGAGACATGGAGTAAGATACAGGGGAAATGCCAACTTTATAAGGATGAAAATGTGTAACCTATTTAGATATACATTCAACTTTACATAACTTAATAACAAATAAGTAGCCAGGATGTTTAAAATTTAACTCATGGGGTAATGAATTATTATAACCCCATGGACAGTGAAAAAAAAGCTTTTTCTCCTCTAATCTAACATTAATGTCCACAAATTCCTTATTCATAAAAAAAACTCTGATTTTCAACATAATACAATGTGGTGCTGTTGCTCACTATTTTTTTAGACCCATAATTAGATAATTTAGCTTCATTATGACTATCATTGTATTGCATACTTGTACAGTGAGTTATAAGTGTTTATGTTTCACAGACCGATTTGAAGAAAAGTCCACAACTGCCTATCAAGAAGCTAGAAGCAAAACTTTTACCGGGTGAGTGATTTCAAAACTACTTCTATCACAACAGCTCACAACCTTCAAGGTTAGGTTGGTGTGGGTGACTATTTGAAGTTTCACAGAGTATGTTTGATAGTTCAAACCACCAGTGCGTATTTCAGGAAACACGATTTCAGTGACTACCCTGGTAAATTAAAATTTAACAAACTCTGGTTATTCATGTTCAAAATGATGAGTTGATTTGTGCTACTTCTCTATTTCATTGTATGCTGCACGACTAACCATGCTTTGGAGCAGGTTTTTGTTCTTGTTTTGATCTCACAAACTGATCAGCTGTCAGCAAAGTGACAGATGTCTGACAGTGAAATAACTTCACTATGTATTGCTATGTAGTCCCTTTATTAATCTGGGGTTGCCACAGCGGAATGAACCGCCAACTTATACAGCATATGTTTTACGCAGCGGATGCCCTTCCAGCTGCAACCCATCTCTGGGAAACATCCATTCACACTAATTCACACTCATACACTACAGATAATTTAGCTTAGCTGTACCGCATGTCTTTGGACTGTTGGGGAGACCGGAGCACCCGGAGGAAACCCACGCAAACGCATCGGAGAACATGCAAACTCCACACAGATGACCCAAACGCCAAATGACCCAGCCAAGGCTCGAATCAGCTACCTTCTTGCTGTGAAGTGACAGCACTACCGACTGCACCACTGCACCACTGCGTCTTCATTATATATAAGTTGAATACAATACATTTTCATTGTTATAATTTCTTGAATACAAATTATTGAAATGCGCTTGAAATCTTATTCAACAATATGGTTCTTGGCCAGCTATCATTCCACTCAAATTTCCTGAGGGATGAATAAACTGAAGCCTGCACGGTGGAGCAGTGGGTAGCAAAATTGCCTCTCAGCAAGAAGGTCACTGGTTTGAGTCTCGGCTGGGTCAGCCGACTGTGTGGAGTTTGCATGTTCCTTAAAATGAAGAACATTTGAACAAACTCTGAGTTTTAGATAAACCTGTTTCAGAGCAGAATCTGAATTTTCACAACAATTAACATTTTAAAATTCATTCATTTTTTCTCCTTCGGCTTAGTCCCGTATTTATTAGGGGTCACCGCAGTGGAATGAACCGCCAACTATTCAGGCATATGTTTCTCCCCGTGTTTGTGTGGGATTCCTTCAGGTGCTTAGGTTTCCTCCACAGTCCAAAGACATGCTTTGAATAGGTGAATTAAAAAAAGCAAATTTATCTGTATTGTATGTGTGTGAATGAGAGTGTATGGGTGTATCCCAGTGATGGATTGCAGCCACAAGGGCATCCGCTGTGTAAAACATATTCTGGATTAGTTGGTGGTTCATTCCACTGTGTCAACCCCTGATTATTAAAGGGACTAAGCCAAAAGCAAAATGAATGAATGAATAAACTGAAGGTGAAAAGTTGCTGTATATAATTGTACAGTAAGTTGCTTTGGTTTACATTTGAATGATGATTTCTAACACAGTGTGTTTTTGTAACTACATTTTGGTAGTGCTTTGTTGCTTTTTTCAGCTGTTCAGATGGACACATTTTGGTATATTATGAATTAACAGAAGGCCACCTGTTAGTTTCCATAGCAATTGGTTCTTTGCCCTTTTCTCTATTTTTTGCTATTGCATCACCAGTCGTCTTCTGCTATTGTGATGTAAACATGTTCTGTTCATTTGGCAAGAGACACATTTGCTTGACAGAGAAAGAGAGAGGGAGAGAAATAAAACAGAAATGAAATGTCTCGGCATTAAGTGATCACTCAAACATGATATTCACTAGGTCCTTCCTGTATACGAAACATTATCTTATCCAGCCTGCTTCCTGCACTTGTGCTGTCTCTGAATTTTTAATGCGTGGACTCGCATAAAGAGCCTGTGATCTGCCTTGGTTTGTTTTGGTTTTGATGCCAGTTGAAGAGTCTACAGAGGGTCTGTGATTCACTGCTTTCCTCTTGAAGGCATTTTTAATGCCCCACTTCCTGATTTTTGAACTGTAAATAGAGGCAAATATCTGAGGCTCAGTTGATGTGAGAGATTTTTCTACAGACTCAGCTGATGTTATTGATTTTTGTTAACAGGGCAGTTGACCTCAAAATGGAAATCACTTCTACCAAACCCGTCATCATTCATCTGTGGAACATGAAAAATTTTCATTTCATTTCAAAAAGAGTCATTTTTTAGGAAGTGCACTGCTCTTTTATATTGAAATCTACTTCAAAATCGATGCAAAATAAATAAAAGTGGTTATTACAGACATAATCGATTTCTTCTAACCAAAGTTTGTGTGATCGCTTTGAGAAACAGACAGACAAATGCTAAATCATTATTCACAGATAAGCTGTCCTAATTCTGTCTGGGTTTAACTCAAGAATTGCTTCGACCAAATCTATGAAGACTATCAGTCCAATTTTAACTGATTTATTCAGTCTTCACCAGCCATCATTGTGAACTGGATTAATTTATTCATTAAAAAGGATTTTACTCAAAAGAACAATTTAATGGCTTAAATTTGAATCTGTTTCTCATCTAAAGCCATTGTTTTGCTTGAAAAGATTTATAAAACTGAATGCCAATCATATCTACATCTTTTGTGACACTTTTCTGACACTTCTTTGTCTTTTTAAAGCTTTAAATTTCCTCTTATAGCATGGGAAAGAGCGACCAGTGTGTGTCTTGTCTTCCATGGAGGAAAGACACATGGCTTATTATGAACATCACTCTTAAAAATAATGGTTCCAAAAGGGAGTTTTTGTAGTAAAAATAAGGAAACTTAATGATGATTAAGTCTTGAAGATAACTTTTTGTTGCAAAATATGTATATGGGTTGAATTTAAACAAACAAATGAAATTTAGTAATGTTCAACTTCATTTGTTTGTTTAAATTCAGCCCAAATAAACAGTTTACCACCACTTAACTAAACAAATTAAGTGAATTAAGTAAATTCAAGGAATTTTCTTTGTATAATTTTTGTCAGGTTTTCATCAAGTTATTGTAGAAAGAAATAAGGAAACTTTAGTGAACCGTTCTTAAAATAATTGTTGTTCCTTCTATATATATTTTTTCTGTTATTAAAAAAAACTTTTGTGCCATAGAAAGTTTTTTTTTTTGTGTAACCAAAGATGTCATAATGTGTTAGGAGTGTATGATAATGTAATTTTAATTTGGGTGAACTATGCCTCAATGAGCTCTTGAACAAATATGGCAAAATTGTCCTCCACCTACTTCAACACTTTAACTAGATTGATGTTTGCTAAGTCAATAGACGAGCATGGCAACAACGAGTTTTTAGAATTTGCTATGATCTTGTCATTGCCGTATAACTAAGCACACTAGCATAAGGTGTGTACCATTCTTTTTCATTTGTACAATTGTTATTGCTTATGTCCTGGTACAGACTTCATGTTCTGACAGATAGTTTATACCTCTCAGTTTAATACCTGCCTTTTGTTCTGTTCTACGTTTCTAACACTTGCAATTTTAGATCAGATATTTCCAAGCCATGAACAACACACGCGTCAGCTCCTGGTTTGTGATGGCTTTGCAGCTATCTTAAGCAACCAGACAGTTTTTCTGTTCCTAGAAGTGTTGGAAAACAAACAGAAAGGCGACCGTAGAGCTGTGGCATATGGGGAAGGACTCTGCGTTTAGGCGTTCACTCCTTATAATTAAGCAGCACAGCATGGACCTTCCCTGTTTCCAAAATAGAAGTGCTATATGCATTTTTAGTTCCTCATGTGGAATTAAAACCAAACCTCTCTTGTCACTGTGTTTTGCGGGCTGTGGTGATAGGGTGGCACATGATGTGGTTCATTTTTGGCTTGAATACTGATTCTAGAGAACACTATCAAAATCTAGTGTCATGTTTTGTTGCCAGCTTCTTTGTCTGATGGAATACGCCTGGTTTCTTTAAATTTTATCGACCTTATTGTGCACACATTAGTGGACACAGCCATTGCAACCTTATTGGCTTGAGACTTCCGGTCTCATTGACTTCCATTGATTTTTAGATGATAAAAAGGCTTAAGCTACATGATATACACTGTAAAAAATGCTGGTTCCACATAATCGATTTACGTTAGGACAACATGAAGGAATTAAATTAACTGTGGATTGAACATAAAACAATTAAGTTTTCCAAAAAACATCAAGAATTGTGTTGTTTCACCTCATGTTATTCAAGTAGTTTAGGGCTGCAGAATATATTGTTTCAGCATGGCTATGGCAATGTGTTCGTTTAAAATAGTCACATTGTAGGATATGCAGTGTTGAGTATGTATTAGAATTTTATCATGTACATGTGTTTTTAAGGCCTGTGATTGTATAATGATTTTTAAAAGCATTCAGGTGTAAGAAATTGTACCATTTGTAACATTAATAATGATTAATTTTATTGAATTTCGTTTATTTTTTATAATTTAATTACTGTACCTGAATGCTAGTAGACTTGGAAAACCTAATGTCTTTTTCCTTATTGTATTTATAGATTGCTTATTAGATTTGATGGAGATGCACTTCTATGGCAGAATCATCTCTATCAATCTAACATTATAAATTCCTTCCAAAAAATCATCTGGTGAAATTGCATTCATATTGCAAAATATATTGCAGAATAAAAAGTAGCGCAATGTTACATTTTTCCAATATCGTGCAGCCCTAAAGTACTTTGAACAAACATCATTTTTTGAGTGTATTATACTTGATGATGAGGTATTTTCTTATTATATAATTTTTATTTTTATGTATAGTCTTAAACACATTTGTTTGTCGAGCAAGTAGTTTGACCAGTTTTTTCGCTGTTTGTTTGAAGTCATTTCTCTCATAGCTGACTGAATGGGAAGTTCTGGGCAGAAACAACCTTACTTTCACATTACAGAATAAAGTAAATACACTACTAATTAAAAGTTTCAGCAAGAGTAAGGGAAATCATTACAGAAATAAATAATTATTTTAATTGTTACAATTTGATTTTAAAATTGTAATATTTCCAGTAT